CCTATTTATTACCTTGTTCGGCACGATCAAACCAGAATTTCTTATTGCTTATTTCTTCAGAAAACTAAATTACTTCATTGGTTTTGTCGTGACTGCGAGAAACCAACTCTTGGTGCTGGAAAAAGCGGGAAACCGGTAGAAGAGCACAGCGAGGCGAAATCATTGAATGATGTAGTAAACTCATTGAGTGAAATTGTGCGCTCGCTGAGTGAAAAATTGAGCTCGCTGTTCAATGAGCTGGCTGAAGTGAAATCTCAGCTGAAAAATACGGAAAAAATGGAAGTAAAGATTCAAAGAATTAATTTATTCGAAGTTGCTAGCGAAAGTCCCATGAATTATATACTTGATAGAGAACGTAAGAAGTGCAACCTAGTTTGGTTTGGTTTCCCGAAAGTATCGCATCTGATATGAAGGACCGAGTGATGGCTGACTGAATTTGTTGCAGACTGCTGCAGCAAAGCACTCAGCACAAAGGTTGATATTACATCATGCAAGAGGCTGGGCTCGAAGGATGCTGTTGCCAACACCAGCAGACCTCTGTTGGTGACTGTAAGTAAAGGATACTGCTCAGTTTAGGAGCGTGCTGAAGGCAGCGAGAAGGCTTGGAGAATCCGCTGACTACATGTCCGTTTTCGTAAAGAAATATTCCACCCCTTTAGCGAGGGGAGATTTTCGCAGGAAATGGCAGGAGAGAATCAGACGGAAAGGCCCTTAAAATCAGGTCAATCACTTCCAAGCTGTCAAGACAACACCGGCCGCTCACGGTAGGTCAGAGGAGTTAGAGGACAAGTAATTAGTAGGAATGATGTCCGTAGATCGAGGCCAGTAAATAATGTAGGAAATAACCCTATACTTCAAAGTGAAAATGCATAAAAAGTTTTAAAATGTTTTTATACGAACTCGGATTCCGTTCAGAACAAAAAAAGTGAACTGTTAACTGTGATCGCAAACGAGTGTATAGGCATTATTTGTATTACAGAAACGCTCTCTAAAAATCACGGGGGAAAAATTGTACCTGTTGAACTTCAGTTGCCAGGTTTTGATTTTCATAACTTCAATCAATAACAGTGCATTAGAGGTGATGCTCTGTGGGTTAGAACCTCTTATGGGGCCCAGCAAGTTAAGTTATCTGCAGAGCATAAATTAGTTAGAGAATCAGTATGGTGCGAACCTTCTCTAAAAGGCAGGGATAGCCTCCTCATAGGGGTCCTTTATAGATCACCAAACAGTTCCTCTGATAATGATAAAGTGGTAAACAGCCTTTGACCGAGAATGACTTTCGGCAGGGCGCATACGTTGAGCTTTGGTGACTTTAACCATGCATCCAGAAACTGGGCAAATGAATCCTCTCCAAGAGATTGGTATCACCCAGCAAGCCTATTCTTGGTGTCTATGCGAGACTCATTTTTAATCCAGAACATTACCAAGCCAACCCATTTTAGGGGTAAAGAGGCCTCAAATATTCTTGATCTAGTGTTTACTAGTGAAGAATCAATGTTAGATGAGCTTCGCCACGAGGTTCCAACGGGCAAAAGCCAGTACCAATGATTGTCCTTTCAGTATAAAGTGCTATGCAAAAAAGACGATTCGGAAGCTTGAACGTTTAAACGTTGCGAAAGGCGACCATGATGACCTACATGAAGCAGTGAATACGGCGAATATTTTAGATTGTATTAAGGACATGAATTTGGCTGTTTTATGGTCATATTTCAAAGACACGGTTGTGTCGGCAGTTGCATGATTACTGTGTACCTAAGATTACGCTTGGAGAAGTCAAAAAGTCCCAGTGGATGAGCAGTACAGTTATAGCTCAGCTAAGGACCAAGAAGGAAGCCTACAAGCGCTATTTGCGAACTCGCAGCGATGCTGATTATAACATGTCTGCAAAAGCTTGAAATCAAGCTAAAAAAGTCTGTCGCACTGCAGTGAAAAACTTCGAAAAAAATATTGCCAAAAAAGAATCCGAAAGCCTTCTTTTCGTACGCTAGTTCGAAGTGTAAGACAAACGACGGTATTTTTGACTTGAAAGTAGACCAACGTAAGATATCCTCTGATGAGGGCAAGGCTAACGTTCTTAATCAGTTCTTTAGCAGTGCGTTCACAGATGAGGACTTGAACAGTATTCCAGGTATTGAGGAGCGTCCAATCGGCTCGAAGATAACAGGTTTTGAAATACAGGAAGACGAGGTTCTCAAGTGCCTGGTCACTCTAAATCACAACACGTCGTGTGGATCAGACTGCTTCCATCTTAGATTGTTCAAAGAATTAGCAACCGTCCTGGCCGGCCCATTGAAAGTATTCTTTCAAAAACCTTGAACGAAGGAACTTTGCCGTCCGATTGGAAAGAAGCTCATGTAACTTCATTGTTCAAAAAAGGTGACAAAAATAGCCCTGGTGCTATCGCCCTGTCAGTCTGACAAGTGTTGTGTAATTAGGTAATGGAATTTGTTGTGAGGGATGAATAGAATTTAGAAATAATTTAAGTAAACAATTGCATTACGGTAAATAAAAATCAGCCTTTCATTTACAGCGCCAGTTGTCGTGGGGATTATCGATCACTAGACTCATCACCATCTGCTATCAGAGTCAACATGGCTTTATTGCCGGTAGATCGTGCACAACTAACATGTCTACGTTGAACGATTGGACTCGCCTGCTGGACGATAGGGAGCCAGTGGATGCATTGTACTTCGATTTTGCTAAAGCATTTGACAGTGCTCCTCATGAGCGGCTGCTGCGTAAAGTGAAATCTTTGGGAATAGAGGGAAACGTACTACAATGGATAAGAGATTTTCTATTAGGTAGACGACAATGTGTCTTCTACCAAATACACAATATTTTAATCTCTGCCTCCTAGCATGAAACGTACCCTATGTCATGTATTTTATACAGAATCTCCCATTTATAATTGACAATAGCTCTGCAAAACAAATTATACTCGAAAATGTCTCTCCGATCAAAATTTTTAAAGTCACAGTAGCAAAAATTCCAATTAAAACATTAATATACGCTACTTATACGCTACACGATTAGAGCAGCAGCATAACACAATAAACACAGTTGTCCACCAACTAGAGCGCGAAACCACTATGAAAACATTATCCATTTGCTCATTAGCAACTCACTTTCAAGGGTCGTAGCAATTAAAGAGCACTGGCTATATGAACCGAAGTTCCAAAAGAACCACTTTGTATTCCAAATAGTGTTTTCTAGAACAGGTTTTTCCACCTTCTTGCTCAAACAAAACATTTTCAAAATTTTAGTCTGTAGGCCAATATTCATTTACTGAAGTTGTAAAGTTAAAAAAAAATCAACTATTGATAGCGTGGTCTATTTTCCTCGTGGACTGCTTGACATCAGCCGAACTATGCATAACTGACGTTATTGGATAATAATAGCATCTCGATCTGAAGCGAAAGATTTTTTATAAACGTTCCGTATAATAAATATGAAGTAACGGTGCTACTTATATGAGCGCAATAATATAAATTGCAGAGACAGACGCGCTACCGCAACATTCCCCGGTCAACCTAGGTATGAGGGAGACCACAAAGCATCAATCAAGCTGTGCCATATTTTGGTTGCTGATTTACTACTGAAAAATGTATGGTGATTCGTAAGTTTTCCGCAGTAATCCAGGGCTAGTACATGATCCATCGCCATATTTTTTTTGAATTACTTGTCCAATTGAATCTGTATTTTTCTTAGCTTATCTGTAATTTTTCTCGACTTATTTGAATTTATTTTCTATGAAATAATTGCCATGCTTCGAATCAAAAAAGGGCCCTTGATCATTATCGTAAGGTAAGATTTTGAAAACGTCTATTAGTCTAATGTAAGTGGTCGCATGTATAAATTGAATGCCACAGCCATTTTTAAGAGACGTTCAGTTTACTTTAGTCAATTACAGGTGTATTTTTACACTTTGCGTACTTACGCACGTAAGTACACTTTGCGTACTTACACTTACGCATGACCGAACTTTTACTTTTATGTAACGGTTGCAGCGTGGCAATGATGACAGCATATGTGCCACGACGAGTTCTGAAATTTAAAACTAAATAATTACCTAAATATGGAAAATTTACTTTTTTTACTTTTTAATTCTTCGTGGCAACTCTGAAAACTGATAAATTAGGAAATATTGTAAAAAGGATTTATTTAAGTGGATTCCTCATGAAGGAATCACAGTAGGTAGCAATACGCATTTCCAAGAATTTCTTTATTTTTCCTTTTGCCGTATTATATTCATTGCAATTAAATACGTTTACCACGAAGTTAAATTCTCCGATATTATTATTGTGTGAAACGGACAATTTCAAATCGATCAACACATGCACCTAAAAGATGTTCTAAATTTGTGACATTAAAGCGTAGACATTGACTAATATCGAGGAAAATTTCTACTTCAAATTTATTTCCTTAACCGTCGATACAAAATTACCATGGCTAGTTTTCCTCAAGTGCAAAGTGAAAATCTGTGGAACACTCGTTTTCAATGTTTTCATTTGTTCCAGTCGACTCTGTCTGTAAACATCTGGAGCTGCCTTTGAAATAATCTTGACTACAGAAGCAGAAGTTAACAGGAGTGTGGATCTTTTGCGGAATTCATCGCTAAGCCAACGACAGCGAGTCAGTTAAGATATTCATAGCATGGATTATATACTTCTGGACAATATAACGCGATTCTTTCAATCGGAATTCAATCAAGTGCTTCCCTTAAAGAGGATTCTTGCATGACCCCAAACTAAATTTTTACGATTTTCTCAGGTACGTTTTTAAGACCACATGAAATGTATCCAAAATCTCAGTTTGAGTGTAGACCATCTTCGAAGCAAAAGAGGCTACGGTCGCCGTTGAAGTCAATCATGGTTTTTACTTCAGCATCAGCTATCCTACTGATATTAGTGGCGTTTAATGTTATGAGCTCTTACATTAACATCATCAGTACTGAATGTAGTCATCAAATTCGTCATCAGATTTTCACAAAAAAAATTTCAATGGCCTCTCACATCGTCGACTCAATTCACAGGTGAGGCGATTAATTCACGCAGGCTGATTGTCAGAAAATAAAATTTCAAGAGCTTCGAGGTTTGAGAACAACGGGATAAGTTGAATAGCTAGATTTATTTCTTTTAATTTCGGCGCAACATAAATATTATTTAATTTTACATCTCATTTATCAATTTCGATAATTTTTAATTAAACTTCGATTTAATCGAAGCACAGTCGTTTTCGAAACTTTTCATTTTCATGGTTGTTATAGGCTAAGTAGTGTAGACGACCAAGCAGTAAAAAGATTATTTAGAAATTTCTTGTATTGTTTGCGATTTACCTTGAGTGAGCGTGCCAATATTACAACAAGAACTGTTCTCGTGAATAAATCATGTATATCGTTAGTGGTCATGAAGCTAATTTTAATATTTAATTCGTTCATTTAAATATCTTCCTCATTCTCACTTGCAATATATTTCAAGTATTACGTCCCTGGAAGAATATTTGTGTGTTGTTTTTTCGTATATATCGTAATCTTTGGAATGTCGTGGTTGCAGATTTGTAAATACTCAACTGCTGACCCTTTCCCTGTTAAGACATTTTGCTAGTGATTATGTCCGACGTAGCGGTATTCAATGATTTTCAACTGAGGAAATTTTTTAATTAACCTCGTTGTTTTAATTAGGAAAAAAATTATGACAGATTTATTTGATGCGGCTATCAAAATTTTAGAAAATTTTGTGATGAAAAAGATGGATAAATTTTGAAATCATAATTGCGTCATATCCTGAAACTAATCATAGATAATTAAATAAGCAGATGGGCAATATAACTGGTTAAATTTGAAATTTCCAGGTTCTAAACAAAAACTAAATTTGCCTTTATAACTTTTATCGATAACTGGAGTAAAATTTGCTGAAATTGGTTGATGAAGGATTTTAAATGAATTTGTTTTTTCAGGCGATCTGCAAGTCACAATAACACAGATTTCATCCCATCGATAGAAAGAAAAGTGAATGCTAAAATAGTCTTGCTATGGACGCAAGTGCGATCGGGATCTTCATTTTCAGTGGATTTACTGTCTTCGATTCCACAAACTTTCACAACTTCTGAACCCGTTCTGAGAAAACATGAATTCGAATTCCATTCAAATGAATCAGAGCTTAATTTATCAAATTACCTAAAGCAAGTGATGCTCTGTGACTTTGACGTGAACCCACTGCATACAAATCTTTTACCTATCGATTTTTGTTTCTATAATCAACAAAATGGATCTTCTTTTTGCTCTGAGAAAGAGTTTAATACTTTCCTATGTAAGAGGTCGAGCAACCACCTTCTCAAAGTTGTCACTCTCAATTTGAGCGTAGCTTTGGAAATAATTGAAAACAACAGGAACTTGGATATTCGAATAATACATCTCGTTCGCGATCCAAGGGGAATAATTCAGTCATCGCATTACCTTCAGTTTGACAATTTTCCACACTCAGCTGAGTTCTTCTGCGCACGCCTGAGAAGCGATATGGAAGCAGGAAATGTACTCCTAGAGAGATACCCTGAAAAGTAAGTATAATTTTTCGTTAATTTTAGTGACATTCCTTCTGCATAAACTCAATTAGAAATTAAAGCTCAGAATGATGTAACGATAATATGAGCAGAATGCGCTATAATTATTCTGTATGTGAACAAACTTACACGAAATCGTAAAGAGCGCTACAAGGATTATTAGTAAATGATTTTAACTTCATAGGTACATTTTGGTTCGCTACGAAGACTTGGCTTTGCATCCTTTGACTTGGATGAAAAAGATATTGAAGAAACTTGGTGAAAATTTAACTACTGGAATAATAACACACGTGCAAAGAATCACCAAAACTACGTCTTCGAAATTGAACAAAAATCCTCTCTCAACATGGAAGTTTTCGTCGATACGTCCGTTCCAGTGGAGGCTCATTTATACGTTTCCGGAAGTGCTTGAAATACAGAGTAAATGCAGCGACGTTATTCTACGACTTCAATATCGGCTTTTTCAAAACGACGAACAGTACAGAAATTTGTCTTACAGCGTACTTCATTAATGTGTTACCCTATACATTTGGGCAGCATAGCGCACGCTTATGAACTTTTTTTACCAATATGAAAATCTGTGTGAATAATATAATGTTAGAGCTCAACATGTTTTTTTTTTGTTAAAACATAAGTAAACTGTAAGCGCATATAAATTAAAGTGATATAAAATCAAGTAAACCAAGTGAACGAGGTCTTTGATAAAATCAAGTGAGTGGGGTCATTGGGTGCACAAAATATTGAACCGTTCATCACAACCGCAATTAATTGCGCTGGATCAGGTATTGCGATGACCAGGGCTATCATCGTGGCAAAATGCAAAGCGGGATAGTGTTAAATTTATCTAAGGACCAGCATGATTACAAGTAATAACAGGGGTACGGTGATGAGAAGTGTACCCCCGTGATTTCATGCTTTATTATAGCGCTTGTGTGACATTCTTAGCCCTGGAATATAAGCCCTCACACCAGCGCACTGTAACCACAAGCAATATTTTATGAACTTACTCTGTGTTTTGTTTCTCATCCGAAGTTTGTGCATGTGCGTGCATGCATTTGTGCTTTTCTTATTCCCTCTCTTGTATTAGCTAGCGCCTATAGGCTCCGGTTTGTCTCAGAGGGCTCGGCGAAAATTAAGATACTCCTTCATTTCATAAAATCACACATACTCAATAAAAACCATCACCCAAATCGGATCACTCGATCATGACACAAAACCTGCAAAACTTAATTTAAAAAAAAATCGCGTTGTACGTCTTAATGATCGGTCTTTAATTTTTCTAACGACCTTTCGTTAACTTAACAGCTAACTCAGCAGACTCGAAAACAACGCTGCCATTGACAAATTGACCTAACGGAAAAAACGCTTGAGCGCTTCAGAAAGATACGAGTATATTTACAACTCATCATCCTTCATGGATTATGATCCAAATACACCATATATGCTCGACAATGACTGCACGCAGAAAGCTTTCGGTGAAAAATGTTAAATGAGATGACAATGATGCGAAACTGGAATACGAGGATTGAAGCGATACTGTGAACAATTGACAGCGTTTACTATGCATATGTGATGTCGTGAATGATTGTGACAGTAGGCGAGCGTGACACTATAGCATTGTCGTGAACGATGGTGACAGTACGCGAGCATGACACTAGCACTGTCGTGAATGATGGTGACAGTTACAGTGACGCAAGCAATGCCGTGAATGGTGCTAGGGACGCACTCCAACAAAAAAGAAAAACAAAGCCGTCTTCGTCCCTGCATTATTCAGCCAAGTGATCATATAGGTCCATCCATTAGCCACAGTGAGAACAAGTTTTCTTAATAATCTTTATTGCCAAGCATGAACATGAGAACTAATGACTTAAACTGTTACCGAGATGGTTACTTGAATCAAGACTATTACTGAGACTCCTTACACATCGACGGCAACCACAAGACTAAACTAGGTTCCGCTATTCGGTTAAGGTCACGTCAAACTCTCTCTAAAACAAAATGAAAAATATACATCCTATCCAATCCCTTACATCACCCCCCACCAAGTGCAAAATCCTATTATTGCACTTTAAAATACAGAACTATATTAGCTAACTATTTACATATTTTACAAGCGTTTAAAATCACAAAATTTACTTCTATCAATACTCGATAAATTTCCATTAGATCTACAGCAAACAAGTATTTTAAAACGCATGAACATTGCCACATAATCGTATCAGGAATAGACTTTATTGCCACACGAATATTAATCCTATTCTAGAACACTGATATAATCCTATGACAAATGAAAACATTTATACAAACATATACAAAATCACTAAAATTCCATCTCCTCTATTGCATACTTCTATCAGCATACACCTTGTATTCTAAAGTTCGTGATTGCACATTTGGGTATTCTTGCACGGGTCCTTGGGAGCGCGGAACACGTCGGAATCTATTAATTTGCTCAAGAGGCAATTCTGGCACAATATCCGCCTCTTCCTCGTCAATCTCGCTCCCAATGTTAGCCCTAGGCAACAATGCACGCGTCTGAGTAAAAGTACTATTCAAAGGATTTTGCCTATAACTATTAACAGCAGTTCTAACATGTTTAATGTGTGCACTCATATTTTGAACAATATTGTCTCTTTCGTCATCAACAATACCCATATCCATTCGATCAGATACATTTTCGAGCCAACCATCATCTAATGAACGAGAAACTGCTCGAAATTCCTCTCCCAAAAACGAAGAAAGAATTTTCAGGCTTCAGACTTACTTTAAAGTAAAGTTGGAGTCAGACTTACTTTCGTCTCCTTGTAACAAAAGAAAATGAAGCAAGACATTTTTGTTTTGAACTAGTCTTTGAATTTAAAGCTCCATTGTAATAGAATTCGGAAAAATGTTATTGGCCAGTGTGTCGGTGTTATTGTACTGTATTAAGAAGTTAGATCTCAAGTTTAAAAATATACTTTATTTTAGATTGAATTTTTAGCAAACTTATAAGAGTTTGACTCTCCTTTGGTTGCATATAACCAGAAATTTAAAAGAAAAATAATTTTATTAGTAGCACCGTAGAGCTACTGAAGATTTTGACCATATCATAAAAAGCTGAATTTGATTTTTTGGACTTAAATCACTCGAAATATTTGGATTTAAAATTTCCTCTATCCAAATATCAGTAAACTTGTGAATTGATGTACGCTGACATACAAGCATCGTGATGCATTCAATTTTGTATCAAACGCGCCTGCCATTTTATTGAGGCTGATTACATTTTTTAATATCAAATTTGTTATGCATTTAGTGATTTTATATTAGTTCGTACCTGGTGGTTTAATATCAAAGAACTTTACCAAATGATTATAAGCATTAGTATAATATATCGCAAATCCTCTGCACGAATTTATTTCTAACGATATTTGTATTATAAATTGCACTGTTTCATTCACCAAATTAAAAAAAGTCATTATAAATAAATCCTAACTACATTTTTTTGCGAACGCCTGCTTAATGAACAGAGGCTGCAGTGAATTTTTTCCAATAATAGTTATTAAATGCTTCAGTAAATAAATGTAATACTTCACTTTTAGAAATACCATTTCTCTAAAAACTTCAAAAGAGGGAATGAATTAATTTAAATTATCAACGTTTTTTTTTGCACTGGACCCTCATAATGCTATGCAGAGAGTTAGGAGCTGAGAAACGTGATTGAAAATAATTTTCTATAACTTGTTACTTATTTTTAATAAACATTAATTTCTAACGTTTGTTAACTTTCCTTTCGCAACGTGTAACTAAGCTTTATGTTATCCATGTCCATCATGATGTTAGTTGCTTGAAATTTTAGCCGTTGATATTCCCGATACGATCGGAATATATTCAACAATGATGAAGTAAAATGCCTAATAATCCCATTTGTAGGCAGTCTTTCCATAATGGAAGTAATATGAGACGAATTCTTTCTCGAGAGCTGCAGACGTTACGCCCTGAAACAGAAGAAGACTTATTCATTCATGACTGAGTTTTCTCATTCATGACTGAGTCTCTCGAACTCCTCGAGCTTCTTTGAAGTTCTGTTCAGAAGACAGCGAAGTGTTTGCTTTTAATCCAACGATGGGCTGAAGGTAAAGGACATGCAGGAAGTGAGAGGGATTCTAAATTTCCATTCTCGTTTAACGTGCCAGTGCTGAACTGCGAGACCTGAATATAAATGTCCTCTTTAGTGAGTGGATCTTAGTAATGCTTGTATTATGGATCGCAGTTGTACATTCCAAGTACGAGGCAATATTTCCGTATTTTAGTATTATGGGAATACCAGCTCGTATCAAGCGCTGCTTCTATTTGAAATTTAGATAAATGCATACCCCGACAAATTGAAAAATGTTAAAATTTCACCCAGAGACATTCTAGGATAAATTGATTTACGGCGATTCACTACATTGAATGTCAAAAAAGTTCGATATTTTTTTACAATTTAGTTCCGCGAATCTGCATTTCCAACACATTTAATGATCGCGGCTAATAGAAGATCAACATTTATTCATTCAAGCTCGAGGGACGATCGTGAACTGCCCCAAATTGTATAGCTAATATTCTTTCAGAAAAGTTTATATCTCAACATCAAATGTCGCAGCGCAGGAATGCATAAAGTTTAAAGTTTTATTATCAAAAACCTTAACTTACAAATGGAGTTGATCTTCTGCAGAGAGCAAAATTTTAATTAAAACAAAATTTTTCGTGGGGCACAGTGGATTTTTAGGTAATCTAATAATAGATAGGTAATCTAATAATAATAATAATAATTGAATTTTTAAATAAATTAATAAATTTTAGCTAATCCAAAAATAATAGATTACTTATATTAATGATGTAATCTAATTAGATATTGAAACGATTGTGGCAAGTCTTCTCCCACCCCCGTCAAATGATTTAGATGGAAATTCCCTTCAAATACTTAGATTTTGAATCACGGTTAAGATTTCGATAGAGGATATTTAAAAGATGGATCATGATTGTCTCCTGAACTAAAAACTAATGTTATCAGCGCATTTTCTCATTTATGAAAAAATGCACTATTGTGCTCGTCATGTCCGTCCGTCCGTCTGTCCGTCTGTCCGTCTGTCCGTGACTTCACGTTTTCGTCGATTTTGTGAAAATGAGCTCTCTGTCACTCACTGCAGTGAGTACAGAGTTATATTTTTTAGCTATCGGTCTGTAGAAACTGTCTTCCTACTTGCAGGCATCCCCGAAAAATGTGACCGCGTCTAGCAGGATTTTTGCCTGCCTTCGATCGAAAACGAAAGCGAGCCTAAGTGCCGGATTTGAAAACGAAAGCGAGCCTAAGGGCCGGATTTGCCCGTCATACATCATCTCTGCACGTCCGACCAAAACAAAGTCAAGGAACTGACCAAAATCAGTATATATATATATAAAGAACCACGCCTGTAGTTCGTTCCGGAAATGAAAGTATTTTTGTTATTATTATTATATAAAGATATTAATTTATTAAGTCTAAGTCTGTTAA